TAGTCGTTCGTTTACTGCTGTTATCCTTGAAAATCCAAATGTATACCACGGTCTCTATTCATTCTTAAGTACGTACAATAGTTTCTGCTGTTCTTGTAAAACTATCTAGTTTTGGAAGCTTATATTCGTTTGGGCTCTGTAATACTTGTGTCTTAGCTTATCTCTTTTGGTTTTTGTATTCTTTCTGACTATTCGTCCATAATTAAATTGTTGTTTAAATATGATCATTAATTTAAATATTTCGTAACCGTCCTAGAAATCTGTACCGTTTAGTCTCTTTACGGATTAATCCGAATTCACTTCGTTTTTGTGCGCCGTTTCGGTTTTTTTTCGTATCATTTTTTCATTAAAAGTACTTATACCCTCCCGCCACCAAGTGTGAAAGATTTTATCTCGTTTACTAATTACAACTTATTCAATAATTGCTGTTATTATCTCTACAAATTTATCTATATCGCTAATTGGTCTGAAATAATCTACTTATTTTGTGCTTATAGGTAAATAAAATGGCAAAGTAAAATACATACGCCAGAAAACTCATGTTACATCTCACTACCTTTGAAAACTCTTGTTTTCTGTTCAAGTTTAGCTTATCTTCACTATTAGTCAAAATAATTAATGTCGAGTCATGTTTTTCTAGTGATCATTCTGCGAAAAACTCATATTTTTTATGATTTTATTTCTACGGACACAATCAAATAATTAATCACTGCCTCAATTTCATCCTACTACTTATTTGTCTTAATTTAAGCAATTAAGTGTAATAATGACAGCCTTTCAGATTGGCATAAAACGGCGGTTTTATGCTTAACTTTTATAGTTTACATCATAAACTAACCTTAGTTCGATAACTGTTGGGCACCTGGGAGCATTGTATAGCTGTTTCGTTCTGATACGGGCCTCCACAGGGAGTGCACATCCACAATCCCACCGGGGATCTGACTCTAGGCATTCATATTGCGATGAGTGGTTAACTTTTAGACCACCGAATTAGGATCCAATGACTTACATCTATTACCCATTCGTAAGTAACTGAGTCACACTCGATATGGCCAAACTACATTGGTCATCAGTCCTCACTGAAACTCCGGGAATCACCTCTCGAAATTACTTACCAGTAACTACGTGATTGTTCTTCGTATGAGGGATTTGTGATGGTTGTTAAGTTCCATAACTCACGTCACGAATTGTCCTTAGACAACCATTGGGTTATAATAGGTTCTAACAAGTAGTAAAACTGACATTTTTTTGCATAAAATATGTAATTCTAGGTCAAATCCACCAGGCTATGCACTCGGTTACTAATCTACAGTAGCGAATTGTATTGTATCATCGGAGTAGGTAGTAGCAAAAGTAGAATTGGATTCAGTAAGTGAAACGCGTAGTTTCAGTCAGTCAGTAACAACGTAGAACTTCGTACGTACGTACATCAGTTCGAGTTGCCACACCACCTTAGCACAGAGATGCAGTAGTCGATTCAAATCCCATAGTGGTAGAGGTGGTGAGAGTATAAGCAGTAATCGGGAAGATTAGGGTTTGGCGATGTTATTTAAAGAGTATAATCCAGTGAAATAAATTTGGAAAGAGGAAAAAAAGGACATGAAGAGTTCAGAAGATCAGAATTTGGGAGAACACAAAGAGTGTATGCACATGCACCATTGCAAACGATTTTGAGCCATGTCATTCAGGGTTTCTGACCATCGGTTGCTATCATCTCGCGGTCCCCAACCAGCTAGTCTACATCTACCAACACGGCTCAGTCCACTTAACAGTGACTTCATGGATTTGTGCCATGTTTTGGTCTGGCCACCCCTAGCTTTCTTCCAACCTACTCCTATACCACTGAACATAGCACGTCGAGGTAGTCGGTCGTTGGGCATACGTAACACGTGTCCCAGCCATCTCAACTGATGAAGTTTCACTACTTCATCAATTGATTTGCCATCCTTACCTAGTACCCGTTTCCTAACAAATGCGTTACTTACTCGATGGTCCCAGAATATACGAGCAATGTTTCGAAGACACCTATGATCAAATACTAGTAACCTACGAATATCCTCTACTCTTACCGGCCATGTTTCACTGCTATAAAGTAGGACAGAACGAACTGCTGTGCAGTAAACACGTCCTTTGGTTGATAGATCGATATCTCGCCTACAGCATAAATGACGCAATTTGGCAGAAGCTATTCGAGCCTTCTGTATCCGTGCTGAGATTTCGTCACACACCAGGCCACAAGGGCTGATGAGACTTCCAAGATAAGTGAAGCGGTCGACACACTCAACTACTTCACTCCCTATCACTAGTTCGGGTGTCGATGTAACCCAATCCTGAAGCAACATTTTTCATTTCGAGGGAGAGAATCGCATCCCGAACATGCTTGCATTGTTGCTTAGAGTGGTCAGAAGACTGCATTTTGTCAGTGTCTTCACCAAATAAAACTATGTCATCTGCATATTCTAAGTCAACAAGTGAACCTCCCGGTACAAGTTCAACCCCTGGAAATTTAGATGAGGAGAGTGTTATCTCTAAAAGTACGTCGACGACAAAGTTGAACAAGAATGGGGAGAGTGGACAGCCCTGACGAACACCACTTGAGGTAATCAATTCTGATGACAGTTCGCCATATGCTCTCACTCGACCAGTTGCATTCGAGTATAGAGCCTTTATAAGGTTAATGTACTTCTTTGGTACTCCTTTCAGTGACAAACACTGCCATAGAACCTCACTATCAACAGAGTCGGACGCTGCCTTAAGGTCGAGAAATACTACCATTGTGGGGCGTCTGAATGTGTGTCTGTGTTCTAGAACCTGACGTAGTGTGAATATCTGATCTATACAACCACGTCCATGTCGAAAACCGGCCTGGTTTTCTCTAATCTGCTCTTCACGAGCTTTGATTAGGCGTCGAAGTATTATTGAGGCTAATATTTTAGACACTATATTAGTCAAACTGATTCCTCTGTGATTGTCACAAGAGGACTTTTGTCCTTTCTTATAGACTTGCACAGTCAGTGATTGAGACCAGTCAGGTGGGATTACGTCCAGTCCCCAAATTCTACCTAAGACCTCGGTTAATCTCATTGCTAATACTGGACCACCATCCTTAAAAATCTCAGGAGTAAACCTGTCAGGGCCTGCTGCTCTCCCTCGTTTCAGATTTCCTATGGCTTTTTCAACTTCGTAAAGGGACGGAGGACCTACATTAACTTGCCATTCAGGTTGACTAGAGATCGTGGGAAACCGAAGTGTGGCTGAAGGCCAGTTGAACTGATCTCTATAGTGTTCTGCCCATCGATCCAATCTCCTGGATTGAGAATGAATAATATGTCCATCTTTCTCTGAGATTGTTTCACTAACGGTCGGGTTCCTAATTCCGGTTTCCTTAACGAGTCTGAACAATTGTCTGCTATTACCTATTGCCGCTGCCTTTTCCATCTCTCTTGGTTTCGCTACCCACCACTGTTCGCGATCATTGCGTGGGCTTCTTTTTAGCTTGTGCTTTAACTGACTCCTCTCTTCATTATGTTCAGAGCCAGGTGGAATGAGTTTCCGAGCATCTATCAGTGCGATAGATGCTGCTGAGATCCAGTGTTGCTCCCTAACCTTCTGGTTTACCTTACTAGCAGATATCACTGCTGTTTCCACAGCTTTTCGGATATCATTCCATGCTGCATCAGCGGGAGAATAGGCAGAAACGACGAAAAGGCAACGACGAGTGTCCCTATCTTTTCGGATCCTTACAGTTCCGTTTAGTCGGACAGCGCACAAACGACTGTCTACTGGGATCCACTCTAAGAGAGCTAGTTCTGCCCTAGGACTCAATGCTATACTCACGCCGGCGAGGCCACGGGAAGCAGAATCAGGGCTTCCAGATACACGAAGCGTAAATCGAGTCGATTCTTTATTTTGGCATGGTGAGGTCAAATGAATGACGCTACTCGGATCCTGTATGTGCGTAGTTTAATCAGTCTAAGCAATTGAATAATAATATTACTAGACCTCATGCTTATGATTCTAAGCGAAGTACGCTAATCTGTACCTAATAATTGAATTAATAAAAAATCTTCACTTGTATGCTGGATATCTACAGTGGTAGCTGGTTTTTTTGTCTATTGTAAAAGTACACTAAAATTCATTAATGTTCTTTTCTGTTTGATTTTAAGCTGATAAATCATTAATTTTAATTTACTTTGAGTTATACTAGTGAATAAGGTTTTAATGTCTGTATAATTTTATCCAACCATACTTTTCTTTTCTTTTTTTTCATTTCTTATCACTACTTTCTGCTTAATTTTTTCCTAATCTCTCTTCATTTAACAATGCTTGTTGTCAACTTACCTTCCTATTTTTTTATTATTTCTCCAAGGTTGCATCACAGAATTATTCAGATTAATCAGTCACCTTCCATTTGATCTGTATCAATTGAAACATGACCGAATTTAGAAACTGCGCATATCATCAACCATATTTAAAAACATTCTCACCATATTTAATTTTACCAACGTACTTATCTCTTGTAAAAGTGTGACTTCCAGTTCTTTTATTCTCATTCTTCATTCAGCTTACCTTGTACTATATAACCACTATGATTCTATGGAGGCTTTTCGCTTTACACCACTTCATTATCAGTCTAATTTTTGATTAACATTACTTTCCCTAACTTAATGCTTAAGTCTAAAATGAGTATGCCAGTGGTTAGGTAGATATTTTCCACCAAAGTAAAAATTTTATCTGGTCCATCAGGTTATAAATATGAATATTCTGTTACCAAAATTGAAATGTTTCAAAATTATGACACTTGGTCATTGGTTGGTTGGTGGTTAAAACTAAAAACAATCTCTCAGTTTCAAATAGACATGTACTTCATCATCAGTAAACTTTTCTTGTGGTAATTCATTTTCTGTAGAAAGTCGTTATCATTATTTGCTTAACTTATCAATTAATTATGGCAATTCGGTAATCTTTTCTTTGCTTTACCTTTTTCTCTAATTCCGTAGAAATTTTTCATGCGTCATTCGATGGCTGATACAAAACCGACAAACGTCTGTCCAACTGGTGGCAACTGTATAGTGGCTAAAGGTAGTCGTGGGAAATGTCAAATTTGTCGTTACCGTAAATGTTTACTTGTTGGGATGAAAATGAAAGGTGGGTTCTCTATGTAGAGAGAGAGAAATAAATAAAAATTTTATAAATTAATGTCATTCTTTAAATTGTGTCAATCATAACTGCCTTTGTTCAAGCACATTCCGGATGTTTTTCTTCAAACTCTACTTAGTTATAAAGGTTGACTGAATCAGTCTGTCTTAATCAAATTAGAGCCTGGCATCAAGGATGTGTATGTTAGCCTAAGTCACCTCATCACATCAACTTGACGAAGTAAATAGTGAAACTGACTAAATCATTGTAATTTATAGTTTATTTTACTAACTCAGTTGATTCAATGAACGTGTCTATGATGATAACACATCATATAATGTGGTTCTTAACTAGTCACTGTGCCATAGACGTCCTCATTTGTTGGACACTGAGTTTAAATAATATTTTATGTTTTCATTTAAGTAATTTCTTTTTATTCGTACCCCATGTTCTCCATGTTTATTTCTGTATTATTTCAATTCTTGTACTCATTCTCATATTAGTATCGTTTTGCTGTGCTAATCTAATGTAGCAAATTGAACTGATGCACATTTATGGTAGGTCCTACATTTGTTACGATTCACTAATAATAGTCTTGCTAACCGTCACTATAAAATGTTAATTACCCAGCGTTTTATTAAAGCTCTGGCTTACTGACTAAGGCGTTCAACAATCAGCCGCTATTTATTTGTTTTTTTGAAAACATAAATATTGGTACAAGAGGGCACCAAATATATATGCGCCACACAAAGCAATGAGAATGGGAAGAAAAAAAAGAAGGTAAGGAACGTAAAAGAAAAAAGGAGAAGAACAATGACGACCAGATTAGTGTAAGGTAGTGTAGTAATAATAATAATGGGGGGAACGGAAAGGTACAACCAGAAGAAATCTTTCAGTTAAGGAAGATACAACCACTTTTTATGAAGAAAGTAAAAGAAGGTCACGGCAGGATCGCCAATGGCTTCTAGTTTGAGCCATATCTGATAACGTCTCTAACCACCGAAGTCGATGTTCGCAAGATGGTAACACCAATTGGATTATCGTCTCTGCACCGGAGCACACGATACCGAACCTCTGCACTACTAACATGGTGTTGCCACTGGATGTGAGCAATCCTTCGGAGACAACGATGGTCAAACACAGAGAGTCGTCTAACATCTTCAACTTGGAGGGCAGGTTTCATAAGCATAGAGCAGAACTGCTCTCACCGACGCGTTGTAGATCCGACCTTTTACAGCCAGACTGACATCACGAGAGTGCCAAAGATGGCCCGAATTGGCATAAGCCGCTCTGGCTTTCACTATACGTGCATTGATCTCATCACTCATGCCACGATCAGCACTTATGCAGCTACCTAGATGCACGAACTTCTCGACTACTTCTATCTGCTCACCATCCAGGGTGAGTACAGGATTAGGATCCTGCCAGTCTTGTAGAAGTACTTTGCACTTCGAATGTGCAAAGCACATACCGTGCCTATGGACATTGATTGCCAACTGATTAAGTGCGGATTGCATGGCTTGGGCATTATCACAGTGAGACAATATCATCCTCATACTCAATGTCGAGAAGTCTTTCTCCAGGCAACAGATCCACACCACCATTACTTATATCCATCAGGGTTGTTCCCAGAATGTCATCGATGGCAAAGTTGAAGAGGAATTGTGAGATTGGGCAACCCTGTCTAACCCCACTGCTTGAATGGAGCAATGGAGAGAGGTGGTTGTAAACCCTCACTCTATCTGAGGTGTTTGTATATAGGGCCTTTAAGATGTTAATAAACTTCTCAGGTACACCCTTCTTCAATAGACAATCCCAGAGAACAGTCCTGTCCAACGAATCTGCCACTAGGTATCAGGTCCAAGTTTCATCGTAGCCGCTTCGGTTTAGGCGACTAGATAATAGTACACACAATATGACTGAAATCGAACTACAATGATTTGCATTAATTATTAGTAAGACTCAACCATATTTTGTAAAAATGCTAACTGGTATGTTCATTATAAAAACAAAGCAAATATATAATGAGGTTTATTTATTTTCAAATTAATCAACTCCCTTAAATATTCACTTATCAGTGACAGGATTTAAAAAATAAATCTTTTTAAGTGCGTAGCTGAAAGTTGAATGGTTCTCGGATTTGTGACATTTAATTTGAACGATATCATCAACATGTTTATACAGTTAGTTAATAGTCAGGTTGAGAAAATGTCAAACCTAGCAGTTGTGTAAAAATCTCTTTAGAGGTTAGAAGTACACATCATTAGTTAGTTGTTTTCAGGAAATTTTTCTTCATAGTTGTTATCTGTTCATGGCGAAACTTATCATCAAATCATCACAGTTAGTTTAAATCTAATTTTGCCGCTCCTAATTGCATTTCGAATAATGTCGGAATTCGATCAGCACTGGATACCGTAGACAACATGATATTGGTTACTCATTGTGATGCCCCCTTCTCTGTTTTGAATAATGCTTTGATGATTCTGGATCCGTAAGATTCCCATCCTACAAGCGCATTTCGTGTTGCTTTTGACAGCATTAGAGCAACTCCCTGAGTGTGTGGAACATTTTCCTATTCGTGATCGGAGTATAGCAGCATCTCTCCCGTATTTAGCCCTTGTTGTCCAGCTTGGGTCCAATGGGTTTCGCTGATTCCCAGTACTACCAAGTTGTATCTCCTCATTTCCGTTGCTATTTGACTGGTCTTCCCGGTCTCCCACATTGTCCGGACGTTCCATGTACCTATAAAAATTGTTTCTCTGGTTGTTGGAAGGGGCATCGGCCTCGTGGCTTTTGAAGGAACTCAGCTTTCACCATGAGGTGTCATAGTTCTTCTAAATGAAGACCTTCTAACTCCCAGGGCGGAATTAAAATGGTTTGAATTATTTTTTCTGGTTAGCGTTTTTTTAGCGAGTTAGTTTTCTACGGGATGGAGACGCTAGCCCCATGCCCAACCCTCCTCTTTTACCCGAGCTTAAGACCGGCAGTAACTCTAGAAGAGCTACAAGCGGAGTTTTATTTTATAATACCCATAGGAAATTCGTTCTTATATGTATTTTTCTATTTAAAAAATTTTTTCTGTATTTTTTTATCTGCTTTGGGGTGTAGTAGAGGCTGTAATCTTGAACAGTTTATTTATAAAACTGCTCAACATTTACGTATTCAAATTTATAAATGATTCAAATCAATTGATGTTTTATTTTGTCTCTCTCACACACTACATTAAGTGTCACCAACATCACTCAGTGTCTTCTTTATTATCATTATTGTCCGATTCGTTTTACCTTGATTGATGGGTTAGTGTTGTGTGCATATTAATAGTACTCATTATGATTGTTATTGTTTTCAAATCAATAACTGTTTCAGTCAGTGTGAATGCCAAATTCGACATTGATTTTTGAATATCTTAGGTTGGTAGTTACGGTTTGTTTGTGTACGTTTAGTTTGTATATACATACACGTAAATGTGACGCATACACGTTTTATATCTATCGATTGTTGTTCATGTAGTTTTCGTAACTAATTTTGTTCTTTCTGAGCAGATACTTACATACACATACAAACTGACTCATTCAGTTACTCTCAACTTCTTTCAGCTGTGTTACTGTTACCAGTCACTATACAATGGTGGTAATCATTGTTCTGTATAGGATTACTCTACTTATACGGTCCTATTTCTTTCATTCGATCTAATTTGTTTTACTGAAATTCATTAGACACCTGGGTATTTTTAATTTATAAGGTATGTGTGTGAATTGTTAGATTCCAACTAGATGGTCTGAAGATAATACTCTCGCCTTGATGCATAAGTCTGCATAGATATGGGTTGTACACTCGCAATGATTCCTGCACTAAAGCGAGATAATCGTCTATTTCTCCTTGATTTCTAATAAATTGTTTAGCCAAAGTTGGGTACCGAAGGTAAATACTTATGCTATGAACAATTTTGATCGTCTATCGACTTATTGGATTATTACATTGATATGAGATGAACGCAGGAATCGATGAACACAATGAGTTCTGTTTCTATACAAAGAACTACACAGTACATGAAGTTGATTATTATCAGACATATTAAAATATGGGGAGCTTTAGACAGCTGTTTCGTCTTAGTATAGAGTTCCTCCTGTGATGAAGAGCCAGTATTGTGGCATTCTTGCCAGGAGATGTACATATGATAATGTTCAATTTCAGTTTTGAATATCAACAACATGAAAATTCAAACCCTAACCCTTGAGAACTGTTATAATCAATCATACATTTTGATCCTTTCCCGAACTCCTATCTATAACCACCTAATCGTTTGTTGTTTACACTTAAACATATTGTACTCGATTTTTTTCAACTCATCGTATATTTGATTACGATATGTGTGACAATTTAACACTTTAGAGTTGTCTACCGAGAATTGCTTTATTTCCATTCTTGTCTTACATCACATCAAGCCATCTTATTCGGCATAATCACATTTTTCTCTCTGTAAACTAATTGTAGTGTTTATTAATATTCCTATCTGCTCCATCAATAAGCTTTATTAGTTATTTATTTAATTGATTTATTACAGTGTGTGTGCGTGGGTATTAATAGGATTTTGTGATAGACATATAGATAGAAATTCTCCTCTACGGAAAAATTCAAGCCAAACAATAATTAGTCATTATTGGATTTGGGGACGACAGTCTATGTGTTATAATTACCATTGTTATCGTCATTTCTAATTCATTGTATCTCCTCTACTTCCGACACCATATTCATGCTGTCACGGAGTGTAGTTTTGTGTATCTTATGGACCCACATAGTTTTATCGTTAAAATGACTAAAGACAATTCTTAGTCGATAGACGATGATGTACGATGCATGTTTTGATCTATTGATAGCTGCTCACCAAACGGATACACTGCCATAATTATCGGACTAATTTGGTGTCATCAGATAACTCAACTGGACAATAGTTTCTTTTTCTCTAGTAAAATAACATAGATATATTAAAACAAACTAATGCTATTCAATAACATGATTGATTGGAGGATATGAGTTTTGCCGGTCGCTCAGTCACTAAATGTGCCAGATTATCAGACGTAGTTCTGTCTTTCATATCCCATGCAAATCTACACATTTCCCTCCTTGGATGTTCGGTTGACTTCATTTCAAACACGTGTTTATTCTTGCCCAGCAAGCACTTTCTTCTGTCTTCTTATTTGCGACTTGGAGGGTTCTAGCGTTCGAGTGCTCAAGTTATACGCGGTATATTAACAGTCTAAGCTCTAGATATAACAACACGTCCTCCAGGTATTTTTTTCTAAAAGCTTGTACGAATCGTATGAGTCAATAACGTTTTTAACTTGTGATACAAGATAATGCTGGTTCGAATCACATGGGAACTGTAGATACGTCCTATCCGCGAATGATATTTAGTATAAAATCTAAGTCCAGAGGTTCGTAATGACATTATTATTATTAGCCTTATTCAGTATTATATTCTTGGTACAATATAGAATTCTCAGCACAAAGTATTTCAACAAGTTTCCGTTTCTTACTTCTTGGTCGATCTTGACGATAAATATTGAGCGATCGCCTGTTAGAAGTTAACAGTCCAGTCACTTGATATCTAAATAATCTACATTCTTTTCGCTGCATATTGTCAACAACCACGATATCTCTGATTGGGCCTTTTGTAACTTGTTCGACAAAAGGTTGTACACCTTTCAGAAACGCACCTGAATAGGTCTAACATCTCTAATAATATTTACACATATTTCTCATTGATACAACACCAATAAATAGTGTTAGAGTTTTTTTCCACAAATTTACTAAAACAGTCCCGATATTTAATAAATAAGTGGAAATTTTGTTTTATTTCCCATAATTATCATCAACTTGTTGGTCGTTTGTTCAACTCAAAAATATTCTAGATCGGTATACTTAAGCTCATAAAAATAAAAGAAATTGAATTTTTTTCTCAAGAACAAAATAACTAATAGGGATTGCAATTGCGAGACAATGTTTGACTGTTTATTGTTTATATTTTATAGTAGTTTGATAGCTTTGATAATAAAATCCAGCTTTATTCACTTTTTCCTAAGTTCTGTGCACACACGCACGGTCCAGGCATAAAGCTTATCTGTATGAACTGCATCTTGTAGTGAAATAATATTGATAATCCAAAATGCAATTAAAATCTATGTTTGTAATAAAAAAAGTGAAACACTATTCTTATCTCAACATTTCTTTGGCACACGATTACTAATAATGCTGCTCATTTATTTATGTGTATGGCCGAATCCCCTTCCAAAAAAAAAACGCATATTCTGTGCATGTTTTCTCTCCATAGCTGTCTCATCTTTATCTCTGTCCATAATTGTCTTTATGTTTTAATGTTTATCATCTACGTTTTTTGTTGAAAAAAAATACTTGGCAATGTAACTGGAATGACATTATGTCCACCGTAAGACCTGACATTAGTAGGTGCTCGATCCTCTAAGTATTTCGTCACTCCTAAGGTTTTCAATAATTCTTTATCTGCTTCCATCCTGTAATAAAAAGCTCTTCGTACTGAACAAACAATAATAATAATCGCATACTCAGTTCTAACTGACTTCAAAACGAATTTATTGAAATTTCTTTAACGAGAAACTGTGATCTATGCAATCGAAAAAGTCAACCGGTTGTCTTACTTCTAAATCTTTTTTGTACTTACCACTCTAATTTAATTTTAATTGACCTGTTTACTTATCATTGTGATTTCTATATTCTCTAACCCTAACTTAGTGAATCACAGTTAATTAGTTTAGTCTTTAAAATATCTGATCCTACGATGTTTATTTACATTAATCAGTTACATGTATACTCAACTATTTGCATTGATTTAACGGTTAATTGTTTATTATCAATAAGATAAGGACCAACCTGTCAATAGTTAGTTATAAATAATGTAGCGTCTGGGACAAGTTTGTATCTAACTCAATTTGTTGTCACAGAGTATTTTAACACAACCAGATGGATTATAAAACATGAAGGTATGTTCATGACGATATTTTCTAAAAAACAGACCTTAATGTGAAGAAAACTGTTTAGAAGGACGAAACAAATGAATAAAAGTTACAGAACAAATACATTTACTTCATCGCATCACCAACTTCGCGCTGTACAACAACATCTTTTTTTGAGTTACATCTGCGTAATATGTAACTGATGTTTTACTCCTTTCAATACGAAACTATACTTTTAATCACTCTTGACCCCCTTGTCTTTGTGTATCGTTTTTCATGAGTAAATATTTTTTGTTTAGTAAGTTTTACCGCTACATCATCTATTTTATTTTCTACTTACCACTACCAATACTACTGCAGATATTCTATGTTGAATACAAAAATGCTTTAGACATTGATGACAAATTCAGTAAACCCTTATTTACTTTATATATATATATATATATATATATATATATGTATTTGACGAGATCATTTTTCACTAAACATGTATCTGTCAGATATATACATATACTGAATTGTAGATACATATTGTTGTCGTGAAAATCAACACAATTATTAATTAGTCTGATTATATTAGTAGTATACATGTTTCTATTTATTTATTTGTTTACTTATCTGAATACATATACATGTATCTGTGTTCTAGGCTTGTAATTCTGACCTGTTCACCAGTTATAACTTGAATATTAATTTCTTTTTGTGTTTATCATACATTTACAATTTTAATGTCAATAGCGTAGTAGTTGCTGCTGTTTTCTCTTTGTCTTCCTCTTTAAATTACATCTGAGATAGAGTCAGTGTTCGTATGTAACCTACACTATTATTATTATAAGCGAAATGAATTAATCCGTGATAAACTCATTTAAGCTACTAAAATTTCAATTTTTAGTGGTAGTAATAATATTTATTTCATCTACTATTCTATCATAACTAATTTAAGTAGTATCGCTAGTTCCTATATGTCAACAATGAATGGGATTCTATACGAAGTCTTCCACTTACGGAATCTTAGTGAGATAAGCAGATAATTATAATACGTTTTTGTTCTTTCTATATATATATATATATATATCATGCTTATTAGTGTGAGTTAAATGTTTTGGAACCTAAATTATTGCACAGATAGTTTTGTAATCTCATTAACTAGATGGTTGAAAAATCACTAGGTAGTACAAATACAAATACTTAAAACAAACTTTATTTTACTAAAGGCACATTTGGTTCAAGATAATCTCACAAAAAATAATTTGTTTTGATTTGGATGAATTCTATTAACTATTTTTCTTTTGTTAAAACATACTTACTATTATTCATTCATATATTTTAATGATATTCAGATCCAGAAACTCAATCAGAAATCGATATTTCTAATATTCCTTGTCGAGTGTGTGGCGGTAGATCGTCTGGATTTCATTTTGGTGCATTAACATGTGAAGGATGTAAAGTAAGCTTTTGTTTGTTCACTTATTTGTTTTTCAGGAAGTTATTTATTTGTCATTTTTTATCTTATAGCTCGTTGCTTTCAGCTTAGTACTCAAATTAAAAGAATTCAATCAGTATTAGAAAGTGAACAACTGACTATTCTTGAAGGAAGTTAGACTCCATTCAGTTGTGTCCATAATCACGTTTTAACTGTAACACTGGATGGCATGGTCTCAAATTCCATAGGTAGCACCAGTTCCATAGAGATTTTTTAAAACTTCCCCATCATACCCCTTTACGGTTAACTGTACAACTTCTCCATCAGATCTTAGGTTTCTGCTTTTAATCTTACCTGTTTTCTAATCTGCTTGTCTAACATAGAAGAACCTGAAGGAGTAGTGTACACGATGTATGGAAACAGCATTCATTGTTCTATTCAATCTATAATCCATCGTAAAAACAAATTTTTTTCATAATTAATCATATTCATTTATTAACATAAATGAATTATTCCAACAATCGTATATTATCCCACCTTACCAATATAATTCAAGGCTTTGTGTATAACTGTAAACAAAGTTATATTAAGGGGAACTTTTGCTTTTTTTGACTTATTCAACTAATAATGACTAATCTTGATATATATGTTATCATAATCAGATGAGTACTTTTCATTCATGGGATGAAGACATTTTTTTCTTAATGTATTTGTTAATAATAATACCCATCAAAATATGAAACACTGAAATTTGGTTTAGTACAATTAATTATTGTTTTATCCCATATCGCATATGCTGATCATTTCTGATCTGTACTATTATTATGTTTGTAGAATTAGATATATTTTCTACAGGAAATTACTTTTTTTGTTTATTCAACCCAATTAACAAATCAAACCATATCTAGTGATGTGAATATTGAAGTCCTACTCACTGTCTTCTCGTGGCGGGGTGTTGTTTACGAAAATGAGAGGACGAAAAGTGAATGTCCGGCGCTTTAACCGGATCCCAAACCAATGGTGCACATGGTCTCCAGTATCCTGAAGGAACAAATGGCGTATGAACCAACTTTTGGTCACCGGCTGCCATGGGACTGCATGTCCTTACGATGCTCCACTGCCTTGTGGGTCAGACCTTCAGGTCAAAGGCTCGGAGTGTGGCCCCCTAAGACAACCACCTGCTTCGGTTTGGGTACCCGGGCAGTACTACAGCCCACACACAAATGATCAACTGTCTATAATTATGGAAATTATGGAATATTGAAGTTGTTTTTTTTCTTTCTTGATCCACATGCCAACCTCATCATCATTGTCATCGTCCATTGTACTATATATACGTAGATGGAACTTCATTCTAATCATCTTGGCACCAATACACACTTATTGTAATTTGTGATTAATTTTCAGTCAAATTTTCTTCTTTTTTAATTCTTCAAGATTTTCCGTTTTTGGTATTTTTTGTTGTTGTTGATCGTCAGAAAGAAAAAAGGAATTGATTTCAATTGATAAATTGATTTTTTTACACAATATTATTATGTTCCAAAAGTTGGGGCAATGTTTGTCATAGTAACTTATACACTTTTATACACATGCACCCATACACACACAAGCATATACAAATAAGTGGAGAATAAGCAACACAGTCATTAGTCTATTATATATATTTTTCTTATTTCACTGACTTATATTATAACACAACATTTTTGTCTGAAGATGTAAATAAATTCATTGCAGAAAGAACGAGAGAGGTAGAGAGAGAGAAAGGAAGAAGGAGAAAAGAGACATTGATTACATTACACATTTATTTCAACTAGTAATAATATTTTACTTATTTCATCGGGATTGATCAATGATCTGAATGTCGAATTGATCACATGTTTATTTATTTAATTTATAAAAGTTAAAAAGATGGTTTATGTAAAATCATCTTTAAACCATACAAAGTTATTAAACAATTGATTGATCACTAAGTCGTGACGTGGTTCATATTTTTTTAGTCCTGTTTAGTTATGATTGAATTCTATGAATCAAATAATATGGTAATAAGTCTAAGTAAATCTATACTTTGGATCGGAGTCAGAAAAGGCTGTCTAATCTCCCTCTTCCTTTTTCTTCTGATGATTGACTGGATTACGAAAATCTCGATATCTAAGGAAAAGCACGGAACGCAATGGACAGATCACAATCAGTTAGACGATTTGGACTTCGCAGATGACATAGTCCTCCTATCTCATACATACGAACAAATGCAGATGAAGACAACTAGTGTAGCAGCAACCTCCGCATCAATAGGCCTCAACATACACGAAGAAAAAGGCAAGATCCTTAAATACAACACATAAAACACCAACACAATCACACTTGATGAAGAAACTGCGGAACAGGTGCAAACATTCACGTAATTGGCTGATCAGCAGCATCGGTGAATAAGGAGGATGGGACGTATATGTAAAGACGAGAATTGGCGAATCAAGGATAGTATTCCTAAAACTGGGGAACATGTGGGACTCAAAACAATTGTCAGCCAACACAAAAGTCAGAATCTTCAGTACGAACATCAAGACAGTCCTACTGTACGGAGCTAAAACGTGGAGAACTACTATAACCATCATCAAGAAGGCATAAGTATTTATAAACAGTTGTCTGCGGAATGTACACAATATCCGTCCACGGAATATCATCAGCAATAGCCTACTGTGGGAGAAGACAAACCAGCTTCCAGCTGAAAAGGAAATTGAATGTGACCATCTTGGTCTCGTGTGCTGTTACGGGTATGAGGGCTGATGTCACTTCCCGGCTGCCCACACCGTGGAAGGGTATTTCTTGAGGAACCCGAAAAGGAAATTGGATTAGTGTTGGTCTTAACGACCTGGGAGCGTGACCGCAGAGCTCAAGGGACAACTGCTTGAGGGGTTTTTTGACGTGTTAGCTCCGTTCTTCAAAGGGCCTTACCGCCGGAGACGGAAATCCGTGAGGTAAGGTGAGGTGTGACATTTTTAGGGTCGACCTTGGAAGTGAATAGGACAGAAATCACCAAACCGAATCACAATGCAAGCCGTAACTTGGAATCTTGAAAGGAAGCGTTAAAGAGGAATACTAAAGAACACATTACGTCGGGAAATAGGAGCAGATATGAAAAGGATGAATAACAACTGGAAGGAGCTGAAAAGGATTGCCCAGGACAGGGTTGGATGGAGAATGCTGGTGAGCAGCCTATGCTTCTTCACGAGGAGTAACAGGCGTTAGTAAGTAGTTCCTAGGTGGAAGTCTATAGGAAACCTTGAATACCTTCCTGATGAGTGCCAACTAACATGTTTACCTATTAAGTATCCATAACTACTTAATAAGTCAACAATTAAAAAAATCAGAAAGACTATTGTATGGTAGAACAATGATTGGTAGTCTGACACACGTAATGTTTCTGCTATTCCTACCAAAAATATTATCCAATAGTTATTTCTTAATCGATAAAAAAAATAAAAAGAGGGGTTGATTCTGCAATATTAGGTGTTTTATTCATTAGAATCCATTGTGAAGAGATTACTGTTTCTATATATGGCAATGTATGGATGATGTCACTGTTACCTCTATTTATAATTATCCTGTATCAAAAGTAAATACTATTGAACATTTTCTTCAATTTGTCAATTTATCAAAATATTTTCTCATGTCTAGTTTATATTTTGTCTTCGTTTATTCTAGGGTTTCTTTCGTCGTACGGAAGGATCATCTAATTCATTAGTTTGTGTAGGTGGTCAAAATGCTTGCACTATAACACCTCGAAGTAGAAATGCTTGTAAAAGTTGTCGTTTTCGTCGATGTTTAGCAGCAGGAATGTCTAAAAAAGGTAGGAGATCTTGTTGTTGAGTTGATTCACTTTTATTTTCGGTATAGTTCATCGTATGTTCAGTCATGAAATATATTAATGAGTGGAAAAATATAGTTTGAGAGATTTTTATACTATATAATTAGATTCTTATACTTTTTAGTATTCATTTCACTAATTCACTTGTCAGTTTTTTTTAAGCTGTAGAGAATGAAAAATAAAACTTTTAACGCCTCATAGTTAAACGAACAAGCGATCTATTGGCGAACGTAAATTACTTACTAGACAGTTGTTCCTTATCTTTTTGTGTATGGAGACAACACTTCGGTTGTGTGCACTTATGACCCTACAGTGTATTGAACTGAAACTGTCACTATTTATTTTGAGCACTATCACCCTAACCATCTGCAACTATAGATTTTATTTATTTATTTGTTTTTAACACATAGATATTGGTACAATGGGGCGCCAAATACATATGCGCCACACAAATCTCATTCGATATGTGTGAGGGTTGTGATACTGCCCGGTTTCCACTCCCCGAGCCTTCGACCGAAAGGTCTGACCCACAAGGCAGTGGAGCATCGTGAGGAGATGCAGTCCCATGGTAGCAGGTGACCAACGATTGGTTCATACGCCATTAGTTCCCGCAGGATACTGGAGACCATGTGCACCATTGGTTTGGAATCCGGTTAAAGCGCCGGACATCATCAAATAGGAAGTCATCTACATGTTAATAATAATAATAATCCTCTTATTCCATAAGTTTAATCACATTGAAGAATTGTCAGCACGGATAATACATAATTTCTGTTTTATAAACATATTCAATTTTTTTTATAAGATTCGCATTATAAGGAGTGATTATCTATCATTCATTTTTATCCATGAACGTTTACGACCATCAGTTTTGCTCCTGTGACATTGATTTTTTAATCCCGGAATATATATGATGTATGAATTCTATGAACTTCTGTTAATCGATTATTGTATATCTTGAGTTCTAGATACGTTGCTAACATTTTATGAAAAGGGTGAGGTTAGATGCATGCTGTTAGCAGATGTAATTAGTTATTCAAAATAAATTTATATTGGGAATAAAATCACTTTTTAAAGAATAGTGTTCCAGAAGTTTGAACATCACGTCATGGGTTCACACCCTGTTTTTATTGAACAAAATTAATACAGATTTAATCAATTTGCTTGTTTGGTGTTGTTTTTTTTGTTGGCAAGACAAACAGTAACTATATGCTTCAGTGGTTTCTAAAGCCTACGATTTCCGTGATTTATCACATGAACTAGGTACACATTTTTCTCAATGTCATCTTGTTCAAACAGTTATTTTTCAACTATAAGATTTATTTATTCGATTTTATAGATATGAATATGTTTTGTGATTAAAATCTCAATTTTGTTGTTTGTTTTCTCCGATAAATTAGTAAACAACAACCTTGAATCTCATCCACTTAAGCGTTTGTAAATATTTGTCTAGCCTCTTATAGTCTATACCTCATGTATTATATTCATCATTGAATTCTTCATAAATTCGACGATCAACCTTGACCCACTAAGATCATTTATATTTTGTATTTTGTCTTTGTTTGTACTTAAACATCTATACTGAAGAACATAAACAAATTCTGTACTCCCTATATTGTATGTTATAAAATTTGAATTTTGTGTGTGCAGATGTGTGTTTTGATTATCGATTATGCTTACCGAAATTGTTGTCTTTCGGTTTTTTCTGTGTGTTCTGTATGTATTTTTCCTCTGTTTTACCTAGTAATGATAAACACTTGTACATCCCTCTCTTTTGATTGTACTATACACCTACATACAATGTAGATGAATGTGTTAGCCACTTTACTTATCTTGCAAGTCTCATAAGTTCGGATGGTTTGATTGTCGACAAAATATCAGCACACTCTAAAAGTTCGTTTCGTTTGTACCAACTTTCACTACCTGTAGTGCGTGAAGGACATCTGTTTGTTTATCAAAGATGGAGTATCCAGGACAGCAGTTCACTTCACTTTATGTGTTTAAAATGCAACCTTTGAAAATATAATGTATTTGTATTATTTGATCATAGATACCTTTGAAGCATGACTTGTTGTGGAAACATTGAGTGAACATTGCTGAGGCTACAAGGTTAAAAAGGACCATTCAATTAATTGAACTATGAATTTTCATCGACTGTGGTGTCTGAGAGGTATTTTCCATATCTCTAAGTACTGTCTGCTTCAATTCATAATGCAGGCTGGAATAAAAATAAAGTTAGGGATGATTAAGCTAATATGTGTAGCACCAGTCCATGAAGTCATTGACCGTAAGTCTGAGTATGTTGTCAGGTATAAACTACTTAGTTGTAAATTTGTATTATAATCATGACCAGTAGTTGTATACTTTAGGTGACGTGTTTCAAAATCAATCACAGTAGTTAGTTGTATTGGATAATCATCTCTCGGCTCAGCACTACTTTCTGTATTAAGGTCCTAGACATTTCACAAGGGAAGTGATGTCCAACCATATTAAGCATATCCTAATTGAAGCCAATAATGATCCTGTTATTCACTTCAAATAAACATCATCTCACCTGGCGATTAACATATCTTGTTGCATGAAAGTTAACAGTACTATCTATCTGCCCAAATCAAGGTAGGTAGAGTACGGTATTCTAACATGTGATTAGATAGAATGAGATCTGGAATAACATTAGTCCTTTTTATTCATATTTACTACTTGGTATTACTGTATGTCTTGCCCGCATACTTGTAATTAAATGATTGACATTTGTGAAATTATTCCATACTTCAATTACATTATTATAAATGTATAAACAAATAAATTATCGTTACATCTTACTATTTTTATTGAATATATATGATTTGTTACCGTTATTATTTATTAAATTCTAGGTAGCCGAATTGGTCGTCAACCGAATGCAGTCAAATTTCATTGTGCCATTGAAATTAAACAACTACAGGCTATTCGTGATAATTCATCTACTTCAACAGGCGGATTATCACCGAGTCAAAGTTCCACAGGTTGTCCTCCATATAGTCAATATAATCTTAGTGGAGTTGGTGGAATTAGGAGTGGTAGTAGTGATGCATTAACTTCGTCCATAAATCATTATCGACATGTAAGTCGAAGTGATAATGATAATAATGGTGATAAGATGAGTCCTAATTACAGTTCAACTGCAATAAATCCGATAAATTCTTCATTGAAACAAGACAATTTATTAATTTCGAGTGATTGTAAGCCAACACAACCACCCTTATCTTTATTATTCTTCTTACCGCCGAATTCCATGTCAAATCATCATCAGTTAACAACATTAAATGATTCGAAGTGCGCACAATTATCATCTGCTTGTTATTCAAATAATCATGATAGTGTTGAACAGGATGATGTTGATAATGATGATAATGACGGCGACGATGATGATATTGATGATGATGATGATGAAATGCAATCAATTAAATCTGATTACAATCTGGAATCTGATACATCTTCTCTATCGACTAATTTGAAATTGCAAATGTATAAACATATGCATATGGTTAGTTGTTAAATGACCCCTACTGTTGTATATGTATGTGGTAGTATTAGCAGTAGTATGTTCATTAAATCTAAGAAAATAATCTATAATCGATGGGTGGTTCCATGTTTGCATCTGGCCAAGTTAATGTTTCCTTAGTTTTATGATATGCGTACATTTTATTTAATTTTTTACGGATCAAGCAACGAATTGATTACTTTTGAGCTAATTGAAAAATTTTCAACTCTATTATGGGGCACATTTGAAGCTGTTGTCTTGTCTTAGTAAAGTAATTCAAAATAGGTTCGTTTTCATTCTCGTTTTGGACGAGATTATCAGTGGTGCACTACATCAAATAAAAATGAACAACTTCGACTTTTTGTAATTTTACCAAATCAGTTCATCTAGATAACTCTGTGTAAATGATCTGTTGTCTTCGCAAACATTTGCTTACTTTCATGTTTGCTTACGCTAACAGCTGAATATTGTGTTTAATTGGCACTTTTTATCGGCAACTGATAAACAGATTGGACCTATATGGACAGGATAATTTTCCGTTTTTGCCAATCTGCATTTCGATGATCTTCAGGTTGATTGCAGTCTCTGACGAGAACTATTTGTAGTAGTTAGTGAGACATAATAGTTATCATGCCAACCTGAATACCAATTGGTTGTGATCTCTTGACGTGACTTATATCATTACTTCATTACTTTAAGTCAACAGAATCGATGCAATACGACCAAATGCTTTTTCAAGTAGAATGGCTAACTTTTTATTCAACTTCTAGCCACAATTTATTATTTTAAAAACAAATTGGTTATATCGAGCAATTCCACACAGAATACATGTATGCCAACAAAAGTTGATTGAAATTCGGTCCGGAATATCAACAGCGGGATCATTCAAAGTCTCGCTAGTAATGATGTAAACACCGTATCCAATTAACTAGTCAATGTTTGCATGGACTCAGTGGATAATTCGGTGTTTGAAGTTTAAAAAATAGGTTCGAGTTCCTATGTGAGTGAGAATACTATTGACAAATCCCAAGTAGGACGAAGTGTGCTTGCAAATTCCACTTTTAGCCACAATCTATCGATTTTAACAAACAATACGGTTTTATCTGTCTCGCAGTAAAACGTTGAATAAACAATAATTTGACTAAGTTTTATTTTAAACTAACAATAATAATAGTAAAACGGTATTCAGATTTCCATACCCACCTATTCAACTGGAAGGATAGTTAAAGTCATGATAAATTAAGAGATTACATATTATTTCTTCGATACAACACCTATCAATGCATATTTCATTTTGAAATAGTACATGAATGAACCCGAAATTAGGTCATTTAATGTTATAAATGAGCAAGTGTTTATGAAACTTGCACCTTCGTGAATATTTTACAGATTGTTGTTGTTATTTGCATTTTTGCTATCCGATTATTAAATGGTTGGACTATTTTGGTTTTATATTCCCCCTTTTTGTAAGTTTATGTTGGACTTGCTAACCATTGTTATACTACTAATCAATTATTTATAACTTACCTTGTTCACTAGTAATTTTCGCTTGTTTATATATAAGCTCTGTTTTTTTTCTTTACGCTGTGATTTTCTCCTATATACTTGTATATAGGCGCATATATGTTTGAAATATAGTGCTAGAAGCTTGCCTAGTGTGTATTCTCTTATTTGCAATTAAGACTGGCGAACGAAGATGTTTATGTCGATAGGATAACCAGAGCTAAGATTATCCCACCCCAACTTAAAATTAACCTTGGCAGTAGAAGCTTATGATTGGTAAAGGTTTACGGCTCTGGGTTATGAACAAAATATTATACACGGGATAGAGAAGTTATAACCGAGATTCTGATTGACGTCTCAATCATAACATTTAGTTTTAAAAGAAAGGTTTCTGAAGATTGTTATCCTGAATTCACTGAAGCTCAAAATACGAACCACTGAAGTTTCTGAGCTCATTCTCTCATAATATTATGAATACGCGCTGCTGATGAGTCTCACGCTAGAACGATACAGCTATCGAATGCTCTCTTATATTCAATGTTGTTCTAACCAATCAGTCCTTAAAGTAAGCTACATGTAGAACAATTGCTTTTGTTTCTTTAAGAAATATATCAATCGAATAACATTCAGTCTTGTATAATATGGAATTTGGTATTTTCTATTATTACCTTTCAGCGATCATCACCACTTAACGATTCTTCCCAATTGGTTCGTCATTATTCCAATGGATCATCTAGTGTATATGACGCTTTAGAACGACATGCTTTGGATCGTACCGGTGAATCTATCACATTTAATGATGATAGAAATGATTCACACCCCATATGTAGTAGTTCCAATAACGGTAATGAAGGTAGTATTGATCAAAACTCAGGTTACAAAACAGTCAAATCTATTCCGCTGCATCAATCACCTATTTCAGAATCATCATCGGCTACATTTTGTGCATCTCGTTTGCTTAATAATAAAAAATTATTATCCTTTTATTCTCAGGAACATCAATTACAATCATTATCATCTCAATCCAGTATCAATTGTTCTCTGTCATCTACCTCTTCTACTCCTACTACTACTTCCTTGTGTTCTTCTCAACGTTCCTCTTCACCTTTTTCATTAATCTCTTCAAATCTGTCTCAGGTGCAAACATGTATATCCACTATACCGAATTCAAATAATGAACGTGTTAATAAGGTGAAATTATCTACCTCCAGCTTTTCAAACTCAACTATCAATACTACTGCATGTAATAGTACTACTACTACTCCTACACTGACAACCGTTAATACAAATATATCATCAAACACAACAGTGGCAAATAATACAACTACCAATCGTCACAATTTCATAAGTTTCGATGATCCATCATTTTGGGAAGACGTAGAAGATACTTTACCATCAATCAATGTAACTTCTGAAGCTGTTTCACAATTCACTGATGGCATGCGTACAGCTACTGAATTTCTACGATTACCAAATGCAGTAAGTTTTTTTCAGGGAAGAATACTATTCTATGGCAGTTACATACATTGTAAATTATTGCACATTATTCAGGCTATGATATAGTAGTTACAGCATTCAAATTCCAACCCGTAAGTTACAATTCTAAACGTGCTTCTTAGTTCACCTCAATTTGAACAGATGAACAGGGTCATCAGGCCTTATGCAAATGAAGTAGCTGAACGCTAATTACATAAATCTCTGTATTCGGTAAATGACTTACATAACATAACATGTTTCTATTTGTTAATTTTGTTTCCTGAAGTGATAATTCATCCAAGAACCCAGTCACAAAATGTAAAATGAATGAATTCTAGAGATAAGAACCACTAACGCTACCTGCTTGATAGATAATATTAGGATATTAAAAGTTTCCCATGTATAAAACAGCCAACTTATGGGATAAATAACTAATCACTATTTAAATGAAAGTCACAAATCAATCAATGATCCTTTATATCTGTCCGTTATACCACTTATGGTAACTGAACTTTGTGTAGAGTAAACCAATAATTTTAGAATATGCTCTATATACCGTTTAATCATTCGGTTCATAAATTCAACGACTACTTTATGGTAGCGTCACTTATAACATTTACAAAACAGGTGGGATCTCATAACCTTGTGAATAATGACCTTGTGTGTGTACGTTTTGAATTGCCAATCAGAAGTGTGCTTCTTTACTGATTGAATCGTTTCGACTTCTGACCGTCGAATTACAACATCAGACCCTGTTCTATCTGCGTGTTCAGTTCCTACAACCATCTTTTATTTCCAGTAAAAACAGACGAAATATCTTCAGTACGAACTAGTGTCAAATGAGAAACCATTCCAATCTAGAAAACATTGGTTAACTGTTTCATTTTTGTTTGGAATCCATCGGGATTCACCAACACCTGATTTCATAGACATAATAGGTATCAAGACCTTTTAGTTTTTACAGTGAGGACTATACCTTTAGATCATCTAATGATGGAACGTTTTGTGGTTTAAATCACGAACTGGCCTTAATTATACAACCATTTAAAACTGGGAAGCATTAGACAGTTAATTCGTCGTATTGATAAACCCCTCAATAGTGCAAATCCATGACCCCACCAGTGATAGACGCTCAACCTTTAGACTCCTGAGTCAGGATCCGATGGGTTACATTTTAAACTTAAGTCAATTTACGATATTGTGAAGCCATCTTCCATTGTCATTGTTAAGTCAGTTGCACCTGACATAACTGAACTCCAAGAACCACCTCTCGAAATTAGTCACTATTACCTATTATTACTATTATTAATTATTAATTGCTAATTATTATTATTCATATGAAGAATTTGTGAAGATTGTTGAGTTCCATAATATACATCACGAACTGACCGTAGACACACAGTAGTGATCTAACCTGACATATTTTCATAAACAAACCTTTACCCGTACTATTCAACGGTATTTATTTATTCAGACTAAATATTCTTACTTAAGTCTTTCCATAAAATTTGTTCTATCCACTTCAGATTTGAGCGGCCGAATATTAGTGTCATCGACCAAGTACATAATAGCTGATCGTATGTGATAACTGTGTTACATTCATACAGTGAAACTAACTGATACAGTGACCTAAGATTATTGAATCTATGATTCATTATTAACAAAGCAGCTTTGTACATATCGACAGATATTTATTAGTTTCACATAAACTTTCTTTACATTTGCATCATATACACACAATAACAGCTGAAAAATAATCGTATTGGGTATTTTGTGTCTAGTTTTCAGACTTTTGACCTGATTTCTAAACTAGATGGTAATATGCTTCGTCGTTGAACTTATTCCTATTACAAGAATACTAGGATATCATTTAAAATCACGGTGACCAACGCGTTTTCCGCTGTGAAATGGTAACTTCATTCACTGTCTCAGTCATCATCAATGTAGGACTTGGCACGAATGGATGTCGTTCCAACTTACCACACCTTAAAGAGAAAAATGATATTAAACTTAATTAAAATCATGAACCGATCCAAGTTAGACCACCATTAGAAACCAAGAAGCAGCAGATGACTTTTTCGTCCTAGTATAGGTTTCCTCGGCAGTGCGCATCTACGATTCTGCACTCAGGATTCTAACCCAGAACCATCTGTTTCGGGCGCGAACGCTTAACCTCCAGACCACTCAGTTGGCACTCTTCGGTGTTAATGTCCAACCCCAATTGATTCATGACGTTTTGTGACCAGCTCCCATTGTTTCCCGTAGGAAACTACCTCACGCCAGATGTCGATTAGCTCCGACGGTCACAGCTTCTCACTAGAACTCCGTGCTTTCCTTCAAATGTGAAGGTCTTCATAATCCAGTCAACCACCAGAAGAAAGAGGATGGGGGAGAGTAGGCAACCTTGTTTGACTACGGTCCTCACTTAGAATGGGTCTGTCGGCTGTCCTCCATGCACGACTTTTTAGTGTAGTCCGTTGTATGAATTCCGTGTGATGTTGACGATCTTCTCAGCTTTACCATAGTGTCGAAGAAGTTCGCATAAGGTTCTCCTATCCACACTGTCAAACGCCTTCTCATAGTCAAGGAAGTTGATGTACAGTGACGAGTTGCACTCAACTGACTGTTCGACGACAACCCGTAATGTCGCGATTTGGTTTGTGTACGAACGATCCTTAATGAATCCAGTCTGTTGATCTCATAGCTGAGCATCTACTGAATCTCTCGTCCAGTTAATCAACAATCTGTTGAAAACTTTTCGTGGTACTAATAGTAGTGTGATGCCTCTGTAGTTCCCACACTCACTCAGATTTCCTTTTCTTGGTATGTTGATGAGATATCGTTCTCTCCAGTCTGTCGACACCTGTTCTTCCTCCCAAATCTTCCTGAAGAGGACGTGGAGCGTGTTTGTAATTACTTCCATGTTTGATTTCAAAGCTTCAGCTGGTGTTTAGTGTCTTGCTGATTTCTTCGATCGTTGGTGGAAGGTTTGTGTGTGCTCTTCCGATATCCGTTAGGTTCAATGGGGCTGGTCTGTTTGAGAGTTCTTCAAAGTTTTCAAACCACCTGTTCCATTGTTCTTGAATCTCGGTTATTTAAATAGCAATAGAAAATAAATGCAATTGTTAAAAGTTTTAGATGTGAGGGTGGTGATCACTTTTAGATTCCCCCACCTTCCAAGTTTAGTTTTTCTGAAGACATTTGAGGGAAAACTGGATTAAGAGTAGTTTCACGACCTGTGATCGTAACCGCAATACTCACAAAACAACTCTTTGAAAGCTGATCACATACAGACTATTTGTAAGTAGATTTAACTGTGTTAGCTACAACGAACCCAAGGTCCGAGGGCGAAGTTGTACTGCTGAATGTACAGAGGTGTGACGGCAGTAATGTGTTTCCTTCAGACAATCAGCATAACAGCGATGCTGCCTTCCCACTAAGAAGGACTGGGTTATAAATGATCAACCCTAAAACTGCACACCGCCTTATCCCACAAATTTCCGTCCCCCGCTCTAAGGTCTCAACAAGTACGGAGATAACACGGAAATTACTCACAAAAAGGTTGTGTGACCGGTCTTAAGCAATTGTCCCTTGGACACATTCTCAGTTACTAAGAACACCTCTAACCCAATTTCGTTTTCACGTATCTCCAGAAGAACCCTTCCACTGTGTCAGCAACTGGAAAGTGATTACCACCATCATACCTCTAACAGCACTCAAGATCACTGTATTCATAATCAGTTACCCTCTTTAATTCCTACTATTCCTCTTACCTCGACTTTCAACTCTAAACTTCCTCTTTAGACATCCCCCTCAAGTGTCACCATAGTGAACGATCCTAGTGCGCAAAATACTGTCCTAGGTCTACTGAAACCTCTCCAAACGACTCATTAGAGCCTTCAATGTTACACTTTATATTACTTTTTATCTGCATCATGAACTGAAATTAAGTGGTGAACTATCAAAAATCAAAAAATACAATATTGGATACATGTTTTCTTGCTAGATTGAAATTCCTAAGGAGTATATACCAGTGTAAGTAATAGTGAGGTTAGACGCAGGATATTGGAGAATGATGGTAAATCAGTTGGTGAGGTTGTGAATCATCATCAGCTGAGATGGTTGGGCCACGTGTTACGTATGCTTGCACACCGATTACTGCAACGTACAATACTGACTATTGTTGGGGATAATTGGAAGAAAGTTAGGGGTGGCCAAACCAAAATGTGGCATCAGTCCTTGAACTCACTGACTTCTAGTCTAAGCCATGTTGGTAGATGCAGACTACTTGGTTGGGGTGCACGTGACTATCGTAACCAATGGTTGGAGACTCTTGGTGACATGGCCCAGAATCCATCACAGAGGCGTAGGTGTATACACTCATTGTCTTCCCTTAAACTATGAGATTAAAACTGCTTTATACCTTTCTTTCTACGAACTAACTCTTTCTTCCTGTATTATATCCTTATACACAATCTTTCTTTTATACATTATTACCACTGAAGTGACCACTTCTATGAATTTGGTGCTAATGAAGTGTAGGGACGTGTATCGATGCATGTATGTGCCTGTTTCTACGTTGTAGCTGACTGACTGATTGAGTAATAGTACTATCGTTAATATCATTGAAATTTTTTTCAATTTTTAATAAATTATAAACGGTTGATGTTTATGATTAAAATACATTTTTTATCCGTTCATTTCTTTTTTGTTTGTTTATATTTCTGTTTCCCTCTAAAAACATTCAAATTCAAGTACTTTAAAACACGTTTTCGTATGACATCGATACCACCGGAACATCAAGATAATATTAATCAAGTATGGGGTCATATGATGAATCATTTTCATATGCACGCTCAACAGGTTGTACAATTCGCTAAACTTGTACCCGGTAAGAGTTCGTAATACTCAATTAACATTTAAAGATGATATGTGTCCTGTTGTTTGCTTGCTTTTAATACACTTTTTCCGTTGTTCGTGATTCCTTTCTCACTAAAGAGAAGTAATGAATAGGTAATAATAATACTTTACTTTAGCAAACATCATTAACTAAATTAGTGTGACTTATTTCATCAAGTAAAGATTTGTGCCCGACTTTGCTGACATTGTTTGTATGCGGAATAAAGTTTCATTATTAAAACACATAAACCTTAGTACAAGGAGGCAGCAAATATATATGCGACACACTTCGGTTTGTGTGAGGGCTGGAATGTTCTCCGGGCTACGTAGCCGAAGCAGGTGGTTTTCTTAGGGTGCCACACCTCGAGCCTTCGACCCAGAAGTTTAATCCACAAGGCAGTGGAGCAACGTTACTAGATGCAGTCTCATTGTACTCCATTTGTCCCTTCAAGATCCTGGAGCCTGTGTGTACAACATCGATATGGAGTCAGAGTTTTCCAACTCCCCTAGCTGGATCCTCCATATCCGCCCGGTTACCCTAAATGTGCATTCTACTGGTTAATAACCAAGTGGCTAAACTACTAAGCCACCACTCCTAATCAGTATTGCAATGTCGGTATAACATAGAGATCAGTATAATTACGTCAGCGTGGGATCACATTCTTTTCTTTAGTTAAAATTGCGTCTTGTTCTTCTGTATTGTTGTAAAAACGTAGAAAAAACCGAGACCGGGTATTCTATAAACTAAGTACTGTTCCTAGATGATGGGCTCATTAATTGTAAAATGATTGTACTAGGTATGTGATGATTTTTAGACTTGGAAATTAAACCAACCGATCTTTTCTGGATTACTCGTCATAAACGGTGGAGATGTTGGATACGTCATGCACCACAAAGGTTTTGTGGTGCTGATAGATGGTTTTCACCTATAACACCCAGCAATAATCGTACCCGATTTTATGGTTCATAATTCCATTATCGCGCCAGACCGCTCGTTTCTTATTCCTTACGACTTTTCCACATATAGTATTGGTAGATGTGCAATATGGTCCTAGTTCAGTGTCAAGATACCGGTAGTGTTGTGTTGTTTGGCCTAGCTCGGGGAACAACACAAAAAGGATTCGTTTAAGCTGCAATCTTCTCTATCAATCCAAATAATTGAATACTTTGGTATCATATATATCCACCATATCTTAGGACTTAGGAGAGTAAGACACTTAACTAGTATTAATGATTGGTTGGTTGGTAGGATGAAAAGGTCAGGCAAACGTGATCAATAAAAGTTTCCTGATAGAGTATACAATAACATACCTATTGTGTGAATGCAAATCTCTTATTGTTGTTTGTTTGTTTGTTTGTTGTTTATTTCATATTGATTCTAATTTCTACTACCCTGTCTGGATATTTGTCCAACAGATAGATTAAAGCAAACTAATCAATTAATCAATACATATACATGCAGATTGATACGAATACAACGACGAAATTACTCTCTGTTGTCTCATTTTCTCTATTTTATGATGTGATGTGGTCTGTCTTCTCTTTGTTGATGCGGCACTGTTACTGCCTAGTTTTTAAAACTGTCCAGCTATAATAATAGTCATACATTAACCAGTGTTCATTTTTAGTTATTATCATTATATCAATCATATTGTAATTATCAGTTATGTCATGCATCAGCTAACAACTTGATCATAAGTTATTATAAACAATGAAGTTAGGTAACCGTAATAAAGCTGAGATATTTCAACTGTTGTGGACAAATTTTAAGAAAACCCATTGAAAATTCATTTATTTCGAAGTAGGGAGGGGAAACAGTTATACTATGTAATATTTTCGTTCGGTAAAACGATTCGCTTTTGCTCCTTAAAATCCGTTCTTTTTCTAAACATCAATTATCCTTGAAAATGTTATGCTTTATGTATATCTAGCACGGTAAATATAAAATTTGATGATGTAACTCATTTACTATTCATAATTTTGTATATTCAACTTTGAGACAAACTTTATGTGTGACGGTTAGTGGTACTATCCTTCTGCCAAACTAAAAGTAGACGAAGTGACACTAGGATTTTCTATTTAGTAGCTGAACGTTGAACACCTCATAACTGCTCCTCGGAAACTAACAAGATAATGTTTTGAAAGGGAACACGTTAACTCATGGCATAAAAAAAAAGAAATAATATTCAAGGTGAAAATCTCGGCGAATGCAACGAATAAATATGTATTTATTGATTTTGAGCATTATCACCACAACCATCACGGATAGAGATTATCTCGTTGATATCATCTACTAGGAAGTCGTCTACAAAGTGATAATAATAATAATCGTTTTATTCCGTATCATATTTTTGATGACATCAAAGAATTGTTAGTGCAAATTATACAGATTTGTGGCATGAAACGGGGGGATAAGCACTGCTGTTAACAGATGTATTTAGTTACTATAAACGTATATTTGAAAAATTTATGGGAATAAAATCACGTTTTTAAAAATAGTGTCCCAGAGGTTTGAGCAGGAGAACATTAGAATACGATCTTCTGATACCATTCACTTTGATAATCATTAACTCTATGAATGAATGGTTTATCTTCGTTTTATAACTTCCAGTGATTTTGTTACCGTCTATGTAAATCCTAGCTCCCAATGTGTATCACAATAAGTTGTTAACTTAATCATATATGGTACTGTTATTCAAAATCATTGACCTTTCTTCTATTCTCAAATAACTTTTTTGAGTTTTCATTGCTTATGAAGTGTTTATTTAATGAAGAGTACTGGCTAGATTAGTGCTTTCCTTTACACTAATCTTTTTTGTTGTTTTCAATATACTGATCTCTCAAATACCAGTTTATTGAAATGGTCAATACTCATTCTTCTTTTGTTTTGTGTTTCATGCAGTTAAACCGAATATATAGTTTACTGCATCGCACACACATCAACGAACAAATCAAATTTTCGTACTAACTCATAGCACTATTCATTTTTCTTTGATCCTTAATTTTTAATTTGCAAACGTAAGTCAGTTGGAATCGTCTCATTGTATAATCATATGTGCAATATTGATGATTTACTGGAAGTGATAAACTGTGTCAGCCAAAAGCATTCTAATAAAGATAGACTCACATACCTTCGCTTATAATTAAGTTATCATATATTCTTCAGTTTATTCAAATAAAGAAACCTTAACAACAATGACTATATCAGAGGGACTTAAGCTCACTGATCATCAATTTAATCTGATATACTTCATATCCTGATTATCGAGAGTAAATCAATAATGTACAGAATTAAAATTCATGATGATATATACCATTAGCATAGATTGTCCTTCAAATACCTCTGCATAGTTTAAAGCAATAGACAGTGAATTTCATTGAATAATAATAAGATGTAGTCAGATTTTAACATTTGAACATTTTGGTATCAAAATAGACGTTGATAAAGACAGAAGTTTGTTTGTGATTAACTTACCAGGGTACTACTCTGACTGTTGTTTAAGTAGGCTAAATTTTGCACTTGTTATTTGTTTTCTGTAAACTCAGTGTTTAGCTCCATCCAATTTCATCGCTAAAAATTTTTATTGACTGCCTTTTATCTCTTATTCTGTCCTTCTATGCACAGGTTTCAATCAGTTAGGCATAACAGCTAGAAGCAATCTAGTTCGCGAAGCTATGTACTCAGTCCTATTGCTGCTTCTTAGTCGTGATTATTGTCCAGAAACTGATGAATATAATTATTTTGATTTTCCAACAAAAGAACGTGAAGTGATCATGCGACATTTCCCGACATTTAAACGTATTACAGAGCATTTACGTGTTTCCGGACGAATAATGCACCATTTAAATTTGAGTTTACCGGAATTATCGTTATCATGTGCTGCAGAAATATTGCGAAGTAAACAATTCACTAAATTTTTTTTACTCTCCACACAATAAATTTCTCTTTCACCTAGTTATCTTTTTATTCGAATATGAGATTTTTCTTCATTGTTCAAATTTTTTATCATAGTATTATAAACCAATGGTCGTATAATCAATCATTCTTATCCTCAACAGCTAAATGTCTTAGATTGTAAAACTGGGTTGTGCGGGTTTAAATCTCGCACGGAGCACAAATTTTCTCAGGATTACAGATTACACCTTATTGACGAGTGCTAGCTAATACAAAACCGAGGCCCAGGGTTTCTTGTCGACTACTTCCAACTATCTGAAACAAAATGATAACTTTGATTATCAGTGGTTTAAAGATTATTAGCATCGGCATATCATTTTAAAGAAAAGATAGACTTGTGCAAATGTGTTAAATTGTTAAGTAACATGCAAATTAGGATATATTTTATTATCATGTAATGGGAACCATTTTTTCACAAATTACTAATTAAAATAATAACCCGTCGCTTATTATGACAAAATAGCTCTGAGTTGTTATTATCGTTATTTTTCTTATACGAAATCAGTAATTTATTCTGTAGATAGTGTTTTTGCAAATAAGGTATGCTTCATTACGATTATAAATCAAATGTTTATCGTCATTGAAAATCAATAAGCCAGTCGGTTCTGCTGTACTATTTGCCTAAAATATCTATGATTATTGACTTTTTTCTCAATTTCATGGGGTTGTTGATGAGTCCGAACCCATGGATCCTGCCTGAATTGATTTTTTTCTAAAGATCACAGTTATCCCTTTTGATAATTCGGAGGACGTTTATACTTAAATCGTTTTCTTTTTTAAAAGTAATTAAATAACACACTGAAATGAATTACTGTTTGTTCATCTATGTACCTCCTCCCAGTTTTCAAGCCACTTAGAATATTTATTAAATCCAATTTCTTGGAAGTGCTTTAATATAGATACGAGAATTTTTTACTTTCATTTATAACAAAAAACAAGTTCTCACTTTGTACACTTCCTCTATTCCTTTCAACAGATTATTGTATACTTGAAGAGCCTACCGCAAAAAGTACAGCTGAATTATTTGTATTAGCACATCATAGTTTGTTAAATTGCATGGCAAGTAAGTAATTACGTAGGCGAAAGTATTTTTTGATAATATTATATCCGTGTATATATGCGTATATATTATTATTATTTTGATGCTGTTATTCGAGGCTGCAGTTCAGATATTTAAATTTTTATTCGAAAAAAAGCGATTGTAAAATCCACCCGTGAACTTGATTCGGATTAAAATTCTTTTCACTGGAACTTATTGTTTTCGATAAGCAGGTTTATATCTCTAGCTTAATGTTTTAACCGCTGTGTGTCCCAGCTTAAATGCTCACCTCACTTAGTTCCGTTTGAACATACGGCTAGTCCTCACACCCATAGCATGAGTTAAAGTCATATACCTACTTTATCTTTCTCTGGCCTATTCTTACTGGTTTATTATCAACCTTGCTGATATTGAGATGGTGGAGAATATTTGTAGCTCAGGTGGATTATTTTGATGGAGTTTTGTTCTCTGAGCTGGATGGTTTGGTCGTGGAGTTTTCATCGTTCTTCTGAACGGCGTCATCTGAAGTTTGTGCTGATGATGTCGTTCAGAAGAACAATGAAAGCTCCACAACCAAACCATCCAGCTCAGAGAACAAAACCTTGCTGATATGGTGGCATTTCAAAACATTGACATAGTCAATGTTAGTTAGGAAGTTTTACACAGCATAGAATGGTGGAATGGATATACATTGGTTCAAGTAACCATAGTTTGTATCAGCATAAACAAAAGAAAATTAAGGGGAATCTAAATGACGATAGTCAATAAGGGTCGTTAAGTTCAAAATAAGTCTAACCAAGGTATAATGAAGTATAGAGTTTTATTTACATTGATATTCAGAGAAAATTGGGGAATAAGTATATTTGTGTACCTACTACAACAGATTTCGAGCTCTATATTGCATAGAATCTGTAATCTAGTCAATGTATCAACACAAAAGTTGTTTGTCAGGTGTCTCTATTTTTTATTGGTAGACTTATTGACCATTATGACAACGCAGTACAGTAGACTTTAGCGAATTCGTTGTATCGTAATGTTCATAAGTTGAATCCCAACAAGGATTATATAAATCTCAAACAGAATCTGTCTAGTAATGTTTATTTCCAGTCTAAAAACGTAAGACTCAACATTTCTTTGCCTAATAATTCAAACAGTCCGTCATAAATGAAATGGAAGATGCATCAGTTAAATATACAACACTTTATCAGCAAAACGAGTTGATTGTGCAATAGTAATAATAATAGCATGGTATTTGTCTTAGTGTATTGTTTAGTACCATGTCAAGTCCAAATTGGTTATTCTAGCTTACAGGCAAACCAGTTTATTCATTCTTCTTCAGTCACAATTATTCGCTTATTGACCTTGTTTGTTTTTATATGAGCGTACATGTGTATTGCTTACCCTATTCGTCACACTGGGCTCATCACTTTAGTACCCTGTTGATCTGACTCCAATTTCAAAGAACGAATGTATATAACAAATCTTCCATTTAACTCCATATATTACCTAGGTTAACCCTATTTGTATGATGGCGGTAATAAAAAGCCAAATACGAGTTGCGTTGGATGAAATTATTTCAAGCACTCGTGTATCCAGACAGACATTTAGGATAAGAAGCGAAGAAAGCAAATGAGCCAACTCATTTTGATAAAGCGTGACTCAATATTTTAGCCATACAAAAATAAGCTGGAGACATGTGGTGACTAGGATAAGCGATAAACATATACGCTCATACAGAAACAGTCAAGATCAGTAGACGAATAATTGATAAGATCAAAGTGTGACTGAAGAAGAATGAATAACCTGGTCTGTCCGTAAGCTAGAATAACCCATTTGAACTTAACATGGTACTAGACATTATAGTAGTAGGATTTAAAACGAACATTATCATGAAATACAGAGTATAGGACAGTATTGGAACTCGGAATGCGGCAAGAGCATGCGTGATAATTACATCTACTCTGGACCACCTGATCCGAATCCGTTTGACAGTCTTGGCATTGCCAATTTTTCAATATTTCCTCATTAGGCAAAAGTAATAAATCATATTAAATTTTATAAATATCGGGGGAAAAATTTAATCCCCTATTATTACTTCATGTTTTTTGATGTTCTCTCGCTTTATGGCATTCCTCTCTCTCTCTCTCTCTGTCTCTCTGCATGACACACAACC